AGCTCTAAGTGGGATTTTTGCCATCACTTTGCTTCCTTCTCCTCCCCCAGATGCCAGAGTACCAGTCACTGCTGCTTTCCACTGATCCATCCATGCATGCATGGGAATTAATTACGTACTATACATACAGTAATTACCATCATCAGTAAATTAATGTCTTGTAATCACCAGCCGGTCTGTGATCGGATTGGGTGCCTTTTTCCCACATCAGTAAATTTGCCTTTTTTTAAGTCATAAACATGCAACAATTAAGCTATGTAGGTGGACGACATGCATGTTTTGCCAGCAAAGTTGGACCCACCTTAATTAGCTAGTTTGTTAATGTGAATTATATAGTAATTAGTTCATGCATGCAGTTATGTAATTATGTATGTCTAGCGCATCTAGCGTAGCTTAGCTTATTCATAGCTAGCTAGCTAGAGAGGCCAACAATTTTAATTAATTACTTGGCCGGGTGAGAGATATTATTGTTGATTAACTTATTTCAATTCGTATGTGCAATTAATATATCTCAGCTAAGATGTCAGGTTAATGTGTGTATATATGTGGGAATAAATTCAACTTTTGGTCCTACGAGTATCGAACCAATTTCACAATTGATCCACGTCTTTGACTACTTTTGGTACAAGACTATTGTATTTTTACCCATATACGGTCTTTCCGTCAATGTTTCCGGTGATTAAAATCGCCGGAAAAGGATCACAAATGATCAAGAAACATTTGTCAAGTTCCACAAATAGCCGGATAAAGTAAAAGACGTAGACTAAATGTGAAACTGACATAAACTCATAAGATCAAAATGGAATTAACTATATCTGTGGTTGCATACGGAGTATGACTTTATTTATTATATATGCATTATGTTTCTTTTGTAAATAATGCATGCTTTCATAAATACTAAATAAAGTTACGTTACATGTGATTTTTTTATTATCTTGTATCCCTGCTGAATGCTATTATTATTATGAATTAAGCCATCTTCGATAAAAAAAATACTAAATTGATAATTAAAATACATCAAATTAAAGAAAGTTGAATCAACACTTTTATGGATATTGCAATAAATTTGCCCAAAACCATTCCAAGTCTTTCTATAGCATTAAGAACCAACATTTCATGATAGTCTTGGAAACTACCTTGAAATAAATCTTTCATCAAAAACAACCTTTAACCCAAAACATCATATGGGCCATCTAAAACAACCTTTAATTTGTTCAGTCCCCTACCCTTTCGCTTTAAATTGGTACACCAACTAACTTTTACAACATGGTAGCAAAACTTGAACCTTACACCCCATCCTTTTACGAGCTTGTTAGTTAACTATCCTCATCGCTTGGAATCTATCTGTCAGAGTGCCAGTAAAGAAACCCACACCTAAATCGTGTTTATGATTCTTAATTCCATTTTCCGGATCAAATTCCGCAATCATATTATTTATTTTTTAAGAAATCTCTTTATTGTCATCTACAAAATTCTCATAATTCTCATTATCTCCATAAAAAGTTAGTAACAAAGAGTCTTGACAACAATAACATTCTCTTCAAAACAAATCTACCAGATTGCTTTTCTTAATTTGTTAATAGCTTTTTCACGAGAAGCATATTTGACGGTGCCAAAGTTTTTCTGCCTCAAAATAAATTTCACCACTAACACTTAATTATTATAGTAGTTAAGTGTATAGTAGTACAATTCGTATCCACGAGGAAATTAATAATCTTTAAATGCGGGTAATATAATGTTTCAAATAAAAGTAAACAAAGAGGGTTTTGGTTTTAAGACCTGAGAATTGTTTTAAACACTAAAATGAATGAGTTATGTAATCAATGTTGATCACAGTTTTAATTAATTGTTTTACTACTTTTCACTTGTTGAAATGCGTGTTGATCACAGTTATTTGTTAAACTATCTCATCTTGAATACTCGATCATAAAGTATCTCCCATTTATCATGAATAGTTATTGACAACGGGACACATTTCTTAATAATAACCCTTACTATTTAGTAAATACTATCAATTCAACTTTTTAGATGAAATCAATTCAACTGAGAGTGAAAACCTCAACAGTACACAAGCAGTTTTGCGGTGTGATTAATATAATTACTGACTATTAACCATGAGACGTATGCATTACAAATCTAAGATTACTACTTGTAAAATAATCAATGATTAATTATCGGTTCTTTGATCGTTTATAGTAGTAGTTAATGTAAAAAGCGTTAAGTTATTATCACTTAGCAACACCCTAACATTAATGTAGATATATCTTTAGGGAAGAATTAATACTCAAGAAAAGAAGTTTAAGAAAATAACTCACAATTTTAACACTCAACAAACTTCAAAATAGCAAAACTAAGATAAAGGTGTTTAACTCCTCATTTGGATTCTAAACATGCCAGAAAATATAAGAAAAATATTAATCTAAAATTAGATTAATGATGGCGGATTGTGAATATAAAATACGAGAAAAAGGGATGCTTTAATATGGTTTTTGAGGCTATTGGATCGAATTCCCAACCGAGTATCTACGATACCCGATCAGGTCTATCCGGGTATCATTGACACTACTAGTTACGAAAGTGTTGAAATTTAATCAAACCCACCACTTATATATGTTAATATACTCGACCGGGTATAAGAACAAATCTGATTTTCCCATATTATCTTGTTTATTTTGTTTGATCTTGTATGATCTCCGGGTCGAATCATACCTGACCGGGCAAGTGTGATACCAAATCTTGCATGAATTCTTGCTCCCTTACACCTTCCTTTGATCTTGTAATTAAGATATCTTCCACACTCCTTTATTGCAGATTATTGATCCAAGTGCATGATGTTCTAAATTATTAAATTACAATAAACTAGAAAAATAAATGGTTTTTTTTGTGTGTGTAGATTTTGTGTAATTAAGATATCTTCCACATTCCTTTATTGCAGATTTTGTGTAAAAACTGCCATTTTTCTTTGAAGGCTTAAGAGTCAAATAGGTCCTCGAACTAACTTAAAAAGTGTAATTCACCCCTTAAATATGAAGCTTTGTCCGGCCGTTGCCAATTGGGGCGATTCCCCATGGAATTTTTTGAGGATCTTCTTCATTAAGTCTAGTTTACTCATAACAAATTTCAGCTAAAAGTTCATTTGAGAAGACAGTCAAATGAATTTTTGAAGATAACTGTGCAGTTAAACAGCGCAGTATATATTAGAAAATCATTTGACTGTCTTCCCGGTAGAATTTTTAGCCGAAATTTGGTATGAGTAAACTAGACATAATGAAGAAGATGCTCAAAACAATTCATCAAAAAATTTCATCGGGAACCGCCTTAATTGGCGACGGCCGGACAAAGCCTCCTATATAAGTGGTGAATTGAACTTTTTAAGTTAGTTCGAGTGCCTATTTGACCATTTAGCCTTCTTTGTAAATGCCATAAAGATGATATTTTTTACTCTTCTAAAATGCCAAATTTTCTCAAAAATTGCCATCATGATTGCATTTTTAATAAATGTTGGCATTTTTTCGGTGGTCGGAGCCGGTGGTGCTGAGAGGTTGTTGAGGTTGCGGTAGAGGCCTGCATATTTTTTTAATATATTTTTTTCATTTTTTACTTGTTTTATTTATTTTTTTATTTAATATTTTTTAATAATTTTTTTATTTTTATTAATTTTATTTAATGCAGAAAATGTTTTATTTAGGGAAAATGGAAACTAATAATCCAACCTTTTATCAGTTTTCTTACAATAGTCCCACCTTTTCGTTATTCAAGAATAATCAAACCTTTGCACCCCATCTTCATTCGCTGGTCCCTGACCGATTAGTGACCTGCTATTCCAAGTTATTTTCTTATCTTTGCAAAATATTATCTTTGTGAAATGTGAGATTTATGGTATAATGGTTTGCAAGGTAAGAAAATAACTTGGAATAGCAGATCATCAACCGGTCAGGGACCAGTGAATGAAGATGAGGTGCAAAGGTTGGATTATTCATGAATAACGAAAAGGTGGGACTATTGTAAGAAGACCGCTAAAAGGTTGGATTATTAGTTTTCATTTTCCCTTTTATTTATTACTCCCTCCGTATCAAATTAATTGACCCGCTTTCCCTTTTGGGACGTATCAAAATAAATGTCTCATTTCCCCTTTTGGAAATAAACCCACCCAAAAAGCAGCTACAGTACCGCTACAGTACTGCTACAGTACCGCTACAGTACCAAAAACCTCCACTTTACATATATTTGCCTTAAACTACGTGAAAAAACATACGGGTCAATTAATTTGATACGGAGGGAGTATATATTTTTTCGTGTTTTTATTTTTTTACAATTTTATTATAAATTAATTAATGTTATTTCTTTTATGCTTTAATAATTAATGAAAGTGATTGAGGCTTGAGATTTGGGTAGGGGTATATTTGTCCAAACATTAAAGTTACTTCTATTCAAAACATCATATTCATATTTTATCATTTTGCCTATGTTTTACAGGAATTCATCCTGGCTTGCAAAAATAATAAATCGAAAATGGGTTTCCAAACAGGTGTAGTTATTACGGAGTATTTTAATTTAGGGAAAACTGTCAAATAGGTACTCGAACTTTCATAAAAAGGTCAATTAAGTCCTTCTATAGGAGGTTCTGTCCGGCCGTCGCGATTTGGGGCAGTTCCCGCTGAAATTTTTTGATGAATTTTTTTTAGCATCTTATTCACCAAATCTAGTTTACTCAAACCAAATTTCAGCTAAAAATTCAATCGGGAACACATTCAAATTAATTCTTGAAGATAACTGTGCATTTTTGTGTTCTGAAATTTGGTATGAGTAAACTAGACTTGATGAATAAGATGCTCAAAAAATTTCATCAAAAAATTTCACCGGGAACCGCCCCAAATCACGACGACCGGACAAAGTCTCCTATAGAAAGACTTAATTGACTTTTTATGAAAGTTAGAGGACCTCTTGACAGTTTTCTCTTTAATTTACTTATCCCAAACTAACTGCTGACCTCCCTCGCTGCGATGAGAGGGAAAAAAGCGTGTAAATGCACATACTTGTCACGAGCTATGACCCAGCAACTCTGCGCCATTCTCCCCGACTCCCACATCCATTCCCTCTTTCACCCACATTCATCTTCAACACAGATGCACATATCTAAGATAATTTTGAAAACCAAAGCTGTCTTGCGTTTTCTATTTTTTTATTTTTTATTTTCTGGCTCTGGTTTGTTTTCTCTGAGAGCATTGATTAGCGTCAGGGTTTTGAATCTTCATTCTTGGAAATTCAGATGAGAATTAAATCCTCGATTGGTTATCCAGAAACCTTAGAAGCGTCTGTATCATGATCACGAATAACTTGATAGGGTTCGTATTGGCCATGGCATCTAGTTCCTTCATTGGGTCCAGTTTCATCATAAAAAAGAAGGGACTCCAGAGAGCCGGAGCCTCTGGTACACGAGCTGGTACATACAATTTATCTTCATTTTGAATTTATTCTGGAAATTTGTGATGTGGCTTTGTAATTCTGGGAGATAGTTCGACATTTGTACCTTAGCTGAAATATACCAGGAGTAGGGTGAACGAATGCAATTCATGGACTATCTTTCTTAAGAAGCATAGTTAATTGATTGCATTTGCGGTTTTATGTTGTTTGGCCTGGAGCATTTGTTTTTCAGGCCTTTTTGATGTTCTAAAGTTTCAACTTTGAATCTTCTTGAAGATAGATTATGGCCAAGACCTTTTCCTCATTTTAGTGGGTTGCCCGATTCCCACTTCTTAGAGTAGACAAGCTTCAAAATAGGCTGCTAAACGAAGAAGTTAGTATTTACTGGGAGTGTTCTATGACCGTGGTAGCCTTCCAAAATGTTTAGAGTATTTAATCATACAATTATCGGATGTTTAGAATTTTTGGTATCTTTCCATTATGCTTACCAGTCCACAGTTGGTATCAAGTTTCTATACCATTGAGAGCTGAATGTAAATTTGAGGTCTAAAATTTTAGAATGCTAGAGATCAATGTCATTAGTGAAGGAAAATGTGTTTCCCATATCTGCAAAACAAGCATATCCAAATGTTTGAACAGAGAGAGTGGTTGAGATGTGAAAGATGAGGCTGTGTGGGTTGTAAAAGATTACATAACTTCATTTGGCTCCTTCACACTATTTATTTGTTTTGTTGATGGCTGTTTTCACTATTGCAGGTTCAGGAGGGTATGGTTATCTTCGTGAGCCACTCTGGTGGATTGGCATGGCGACCAGTAAGTATGTCTCAGAGAGTGGAGTTCGTTTCTGAAAGTGGAATGTGTGTATCAAAGCCACCTCAAATACGTCTATATTTTTGCAGCGATTGTTGGTGAATTTGCCAACTTTGTAGCTTATATATACGCGCCTGCTGTTCTTGTGACACCCTTAGGAGCTTTGAGTATAATAGTGAGGTAATTATCTCAATGGGTTTTTGTATTTCTTTCTCACCTTATTAGTTTATGGTTAGTGCGTAATTGGACTTCAAGTGAATAATTAGGTGCTCTTTTAATCTTTCTCAGTGCTGTACTAGCTCATTTCTTACTGAAGGAAAAATTGCAGAAATTGGGAGTAATAGGATGCATTTTATGTGTAGTTGGCTCTATAGTCATTGTTCTTCATGCTCCTGAGGAACATAGTATTATTTCCGTTGATGACATCTGGGATTTAGCAACTCAGCCAGGTTGTTACCTTCTGCCACCCACTCAAGTTTAATATGTAGTATAACTTTATTTGATACGTAGTAATTCTTAATAAATCTACCTCTCTTTATGTGTTCATCTTTTCTCTTGTACATTGCATCAGCAGTAGCAATATCATTGGTACTGGTGTTATATTGTGAGCCACGCTATGGACAGACAAATACTATGGTTTATATTGGTATTTGTTCCATAATAGGATCATTAACTGTAAGTGTTTATTCCTTCTGCAAAGATCTTTTTGTTTAGTTCTGATCATAGGTAGTTTAGATCAGTGAGATGCGTTTTTAGACACTTAAACTTTGATGGATTCTATATACTCATTCAAATTTAACATAAAATTTGCATTTTTATTTAGGAAAAAGGATGACCTGATATCCCAAAAATTCTCTTCTCTTCTAGGCTATACGGTGCTCTTCTTGAATGTATTCTTGAAATGATTGAAAGATAACTTTAATAGCAAAAACTTAGATGAAATTAATCAACTGATGAGAGACTGCGGTAGGTTTGCCAGTTTTTGTTCTTTAAAAACGGTGCCTTTGACACATGTCTCCCATCCACCTTAATTTTTAATCTTCTAATGACTTCAGAAAACCTTGAGAATGATTCTTTTGCTATCACAGTGAATACTTATTGTCCCAATAAAAAGGTGGACAGTTAACTTGAGTTTGATATTTTTTGTGTCTTGATAAAATTGTTACTTGATGTGATAGCTAAGGTATAGCTCTGAAATGGGCACTAGGTTGATCATAAAATTAATATGTATTATTTCATGAAGCAAATGCCACATTTTTTATTTATTTATCCTGAGAAACTCGATAGCACATCTCTTCATATTGGTGCTTATAGAGTAATAGGTGTATACTATAATACCTAATCAAACTTAATCATGTTTGTGATGGTTCAAATTAGAATCAATTTTCAAATACAGACCTGCTCTCAAATTAGGGATGAGTTCAAGTGTCTTCTATGGTAAACTAGATCTGCTTGTTCCTTTGAGTAGATCTAGGAAAGTATATAGCAATCCATTTTCACTTTGATTCTTTTGTTTCGTTTTTAATCATTTTAATTCTTTTGTTTCGTTTCATTTGTTCATGATAAAAGGTGTAGGAAAAGACTCAAATGAAATGAAGGCCTCTAGTTTGAACAAATGCCAATGTTGATTAAAAAGGAAATTGATTTTAATTGTATCCCTAATATACAATATCTTTTTCTGGGTAAAGTCAAATCATAGAAAAAAAATGCGGTTGTTTATGGTTTAAAGTAAAACTTACTTAGTGCACTGTTTCAACTCTCAGGTAATGAGCATTAAAGCAGTTGGCATTGCAATAAAGCTTACACTGGAGGGTTCAAGTCAAGTTGCACATCTCCAGACATGGGTTTTTGTAACGGTTTCATTTACATGTATCATTATTCAGCTCAATTACTTAAATAAGGTAAGTTTTAGATACTATATGCTTCACATTTCCTCTCCTTTTTCACTTCGTAAAAACAATGTTGGAACAGTTTTAAGTGAAAACAATGATAAATAATACTCCCTCCGTCCCAAAATGTAAGATACATTTGAGTTTGGCACAGGTTTTAGGAAAATAAATGAATTATTTTTACAATTCCAATTTTCTAAAATCAGTTTTTATAAACGATTTTGAAGTGAAAACAGTTATAAATATTATTCTCCCAGTCCCAAAATGTAAGATATATTTGTGTTTGACCGAGTTTTAATAAAATAAAGGAAATAATTGCTACCCTACAACTGCAACCTTCTAAAAGGAAGAAAAATCAGTATGGTCTTCAAAAAGTAAAAGGAAAAATAATAAATAATAGGATAAAGTGGGAGAGTAGAGAGTCGGTGGAGTACAAATTAGGAAGGTGTTCATAATTTTGGGACATGAAAACGAAAGTGTACAAATGGAATAGAGGGAATAATTTGTGCATCTTGTATCAAAACTAACTTATAGAGGATTATTTTATTTTCAGAGCACTTAGTTTTTTTATAACAAAAACACTTAGTTTGGATTTTGGGGGTCCAATATGTTCTCGCCTTCTCGGGCATGAGCTTTGCACTGTTAGCTAAACATTTTATGAACTTAATTACCTGTTTTCGAAGTTGATCCGTACTTTTGTATCTTTTTCAGGCTCTGGACACATATAACACAGCTGTTGTTTCTCCAATCTATTATGCGATGCTCACATCACTTACAATTGCAGCCAGTGCCATAATGTTTAGGGTATATTTTTTTATTTTGTACCTGTCAACACTGGAAAGTCTCCGCATACATGAAAGATGTGCTTTAAATTGTTATTGTTTTCCAGGACTGGTCTGGTCAGAGTGCGAGTAACATTGTGTCGGTCCTCTGTGGGTTTCTGACTGTGCTTTCTGGTACTATGGTTCTTCACAGCACTAGAGATCCCGACCCCCCTCCTTGTTCAGGTATAAAGATTTTCATCTACATGTGACATTTCTTGTATTGCATTAGTTGTTTCTTTCAATGCCCCCTTCTTTTAATGCTGCAATTTATATAATGAAGTCTGCTGATATGATCAGACAGAACTTTTCATTGCATTTTAAATCGATAGTGTTCTTTACCTGTGGCACGGTTGAGCAAATAGGTCCTGATCGAATGATCAGTGGTCAGCCTCCATGCGTTGAACGGGTGACTTAATGATATTTAACTCTTCAAGAATATCAAGTAAACTTAACTTCTGATTTCTGGCATGGAGACTTGTACTTCCCACTTCCCAGTGACCATGGATTAAAAGATGCTGCAGTCTGTGCTTCTGATCTTTTTCTTATTTTTCTGGGGTTCATCGTGGGATGATTAATGATTTGTTGTTGCATTGATTACTTGCAGATTTGTCCACTCAACTTTCCCCACAGATTTCGTGGCGAGTTCATGCCAACGGTGAGATATGGAAACAAAAGGATGATGACTTGCATCATGAAATCGTTGCCATAATTCAGCAGGATCATTTCAAGTAAGGGAAGAGATGCATAATTGTAGTCAGAGCATTGTATGGCTGATTTTTTCACCAGTTTGAATTCATTAAGAGGAAATGGTATGCTGACTCCATAATTCAGCAGGATCATTTCACCAATTCCGTATTATTGAAATATGCAATTCCGTATTTGGATTGTTATCGGCCAATTCCACCCCTGGGTCTATGTTATTGTAGTTAAAAGGTCTCTAAAAGTTTTTTTATTTTGATAGAAATGAAGACTTTAATACGGAGTATTAAATTTGCATAATACGTCTTTATGGGTTCGAAAAAGAATGGAAGATTGCCTAAAAAAAAATACGTAGTAGAACTGATCAACTCCATTCCTTGTTGAAGGGATAGTAGACAAGTGTGACTTCTTACTTTTACTCTCGTCGTGTTATCACTTTCATTACACATTTACGCTACATTCTCATATGGCTACAACCGTCCAATACAAACATATAAAAAGTATATGAATATGAAAAAATATTCGTAGTATTACAAAAAAAAAGTGTATGAATATACAAAACATTACAGAAAAATCATGTATGAATATGAAAATGCAATACTTAGTAAGTTAGTATACTTATTTTATGGGAAAAATAATTCATATACCCCAAACTTTGAAAAAGTGTGAGGTGAACACACTAAACTTGCATGTGTATTTTAAATACCCCAAACGTTGCATAAAAAGTTTTTTAGCACAATATGGTCATATGTTGTTTTTTTCAAAAATGTAAGTTTATGGTATTAATTGTGTAATGCAAAATATTTTTATTTCAATTATTATGTGTTGGAATTATATAGATTGAGGGTACGTAATATTAATCACAATGGAGGTTTAGAATGTTAATTACATTTTTAATTAAGCAAATGCTAAAATATCTTCACAAATGCTAAAATATTTTAAATTATGCAATTAATACCCTAAGTTTACATTTAGAAAGAAATAATTTATAACCATGGACCATGGTGCTAAAAAAATTGTTTATGTAAAGTTTGGGGTACTTAAATTACATATGCAAATTTTGGATATTTACATCACACTCTTTCAAAATTTGGGGTATTTGAATTACTTTTCCCTTATTTTATTTAGATTAATACAATTTTTGTTATGAGTTGATAAAGAATAAAAAACAGATCATGTAATTTAAGATGTACAAGTATATAAAGAAAAATAAAATTGTAATTTGAGTTTGCACCCCATTTTATTGTCCAAATTGGACCTTGCACCCCGTTTTTAAAAATCATTGTTTTTGCACCCCAACCCCATATGAAAAGACAAAAATACCCCTCCATTAACATTTGTGTTGACTTTCAACATATTCCTGATCAAGGGCATTTTTGTCTTTTCATATGGGGTTGGGATGCAAAAACAAAGATTTCTAAAAACATGGTGTAAAGTTCAATTTAAACAATAAAATGGGATGCAAACTCAAATTATCCCATAGTTAGTTAAATACATTGTGGGACAGTACACTGTTTGCACTTTGCACTTGGAGGTCGAGTTTTCAGGTGCGTTTTAGAGTTTGAATCAAACACTTTCACGTTAAATTACACTCCCTTCGATCGACTTTTCCTTTTTATTTGTCACAAAAATTTTGTCACTTTCCTTTTCAAGTAATGAATTCATGAATTTGTTAATTTCTCTCTTTTATGCACAAATCTTAATCACATAATTTTTTCTTTCCTAATTTCATACCCAATATGAAATTGGGATGGAAGTAATGTATCCTCCATATGTATAATTATAGGAGCATCTCCATTCATGCTATTTAAACTAGTACGTCACCCGTGCATTGCACGGTTAGTGATTATTCCTAAAAAAACTGATCAAGAAATTAATTATACAAATATATATTATATATTGAGTGTATATATTGATGGATAGTCGAGAAAAATCCAAAATACACATTAATTAACAGACTAAATTTAAACGGCCCAAAATTAAACTAAGCACAAGGCACTTGTTTAATAAATTTGAAGTACAATTAACTGCACCAGCCAAACTTACTCAAGATCTTAGGGACTTTGAGAAACTTTTTTATAAAAATTTTGTGTGCACCAAGAATGGTTGACTTTTTTTATTCACAATATTCATAGTTTCGTTGCTTGAATGTCTATCTTCATTTGAAATCAAAATCTTAAACCTCTTTCCATTGTTACTTGTGACACCACAAAATAAAACTGTGTTTGACTAAAAACAAGAGTTTTCAATAATAAACCGACACGGAGAACAAATGTTCTTGACTTTTATTTACAGTCATGTCATTTGATGTCAATTTTGGATATTGTCGTCTTTGGGTCCAGAATGACAATCTAAAATCATTAGGTGTTAATGAAATTCAGTGATGAAATACTAAGTATCATTAATTTGATAAATTTTATTTTATTTATTAAATACTATTTAATTTTATAAAATTAATAAACTTAATCGACCAAACTTAGTGATAAAATAAATAAAAATTAAAGAAATCAAAATATATTATATTGGAGGTCTTTAATTGATAGGACATAACACATTGCTCAAGATCGATATCTTTTGAAATAAAAATCATTTTTACAAATGACCGGTCAAAGTCATTGTCATCAAATGAAATAATTATATTTTTTTGTGTTTGTTTTTATGGTGCATCACTTGTGTAGTAAAAATCCAGAGCTAAGACATTGATGTAATATTTTACTTCTCTTTTAGTTCAAAAATAAATATTGTAGAAACTATATATTTTATTGCTTTTATGCGTACATTTTTCAATAGAAGAATGCATATATTTATTGTTTTTATGCTCATTTATCTTTTTCTTTTATGTACCCGAGTATTATAATAAGAGATTACAATATTTTTCACATGTGTCTTTTCACATCTTTTGTCAAACGCTACCAACTTTTATTACTAAACGATTTCTCTAAAATTACTTTTGAAAGACACTTTTTTAAGTATTAACAATCACAAACACTGGTATAATGCGGAATATGTGTTATTTACATTTTCTTAGTTTTTGTCAATGTAAAACTTTTCAGATGTCATCAAATCTATTGTTCTTTGATGTTGACTTTTTTAGCACAAACTTCTTTAGCAAGATTTCTTTTGCTTTTAGATATTACGTGGTATAAGAGATCTTCAATATGAAATGTCTATTATATTACACATACCCCAAGTGTTATCTTTCATGATGAGTTGTTTTGTCTTCTATATACTCTTTTTTTAATCCCAAATGTTATCTTTCATAATGAGTGGTCTTGTTTTCTTTATATTCGTCTTTTTCTTTGTCGTTTGAAATATTTTAGACCCATGAATTTCTTGTCTTCTTTATATTCATTTTTTTCCTTTATATTCAATTTTGATGTAGATATTTTTGAGTAGGAAACTTTTCCAACAAAATTCTTTTGCTTTTAGACATTAAGAGATAAGAGACCTTCAAAATGAAATGTCTATTATGTTGTGTTGTCTGTCTTCCATATACTCTTTTTTTTTATCTCAATATTATCTTTCATGATCAGTTGTCTTATCTTCTTTATATTCACGTTTTTCTTGATATTCACTTTTGGTGTATGCATTTTTTAGCAGAAAACTTCTCCATCAAAATTCTTTTGCTTTTAGATATCGAGAGAAAAATTATTTTATATGTTAAACATCATTACCATATCACATTCACCCAATAAGTTTTAAACACTTTCAAAGATTAAAACTCTTCTTTAACCATGATACACAAATATTATGTAATTAATATTTCTAGAACATAAAATAATCTCCACATAAATTAATGAATGAGAAACTGTTTTTCGCATTTTCTATACTTGTAAACATCTTGCATACGGCATTTCAGTGACATCATGGTTAGCCTATTATAAAGTTATAAACCATAGTTAGCTATTTGCCCCTTCTGAATCAGCGCCAACACCACGCGACGGCGACGTACTGCACTAATCCCGTCCGTCGCCTCCACGACTGGATTACCTAAAGCACTCTAACGCTAAGGTGTTTCTTTCAAACTCTTTCTCAATATGCTTCCGACTTTCATCTTCATCATAAATTTCGCTCGCGTCACAGCGAGTGCAGTTTTGTCTTTATGAAATACTGCTTTTTTGGATTCATTTTTTTGTATGTTTGTAGTTAGGATGCTTCTGTTTGTCAATTTCTGAAATTTTTGTTCTTTCTGGATGAACCTTTTGTGAATTGCTGTAGTTCTGTTCTTATTATTATGCCTGGTATGTGCAAACAAAAACAGCACCTAATCTGATACGTAGCACATCCAATTTGGTCTCTACTCGGTTCACCTCTATTTCATTTTTCCGTAATTGGTAAATTAATTCTCAAATAACTCCGTATAGCATTTTCTGTAATCTGCAGTTTATAGGGTAGGAATTAATTCGCCTTATATTCAAAGTGTTTTTCTCCGGGCTAAATTCGTACTTGGGAAATGGCTTGCTGTAAAGTTGTCTGGTTCTGGCATTTGATATTGTGGGTTATTGGAAGTCAAGGACACCAAACGGATGGTGTTTATGGAAAATGAGTATTACACCATTTTGCTATTTGATGAGTAATTTATGTTTGGTGCTATGGTGCATGGAAACTCTCATAACTCTCATGGAGTATAATTGTGTTTCATTAATTCTATGAAACTCTCCAAACTCTGCGATTTCGCTTCTCTTCATCAAAAGATTTTGGATGCTTTTAGTTACATTTTAGGAAGAAAAATCTTAACCCAATTAAAAATGTAGAGGTTTAGATTTTTGGGTATTACTCAACCAATTTCTTTTGTTCTCTACTGGACAAGTTTCCTCTGCAGCTCTACATGACCGCTCTCTTCTCTATTATTTTAAAGCTTTATGAAGTAGCAACCGAATTTCTTTTTCTTGTTCATCCTTGGTTCAATGATTAAAATTTGACTTAGATATTCAATGATTTGTCACATCTTATGAACTTGAAAAATTTACGAGTATAATGCAATTTACTGTGTCATGATGTGTTGTAGTCATGTTTAATCTGGAATGCTGTTTTTTTTTACACACTTATTTGAATAATATGAATTCCAGTCTTAGATATTGTCCCTATGAGGTGGCTCACGCCTCACAAGTCTTAAACAAAACACCCTAAAGCCAATTTAGGATTTTAACTTTTGTGACGTGTAATTACATTACATGGATATATGAAATTAGAATGCTGAGACAATTTTGGCTACCTAGCATTAAGTTTTAATTTTCATTTAATAATTATTCTGAGACGTTTAAACCATAATATTTTCTATTAGGACCAGAAATAAATAGCCCCCCAAGTGCCAACTTTGCTAATTAATTTGAAATGTAGTTGGTAGTAAAGCTCCCTTGCATCTTCCTCTAATGGGGTCGGTACAATCTTTTGATAAGAACCATATCTAAAT